ATCCTTGCTCTGGACCACTGTGAGCGTACCTTTGCTTATTCACACTTGATGTAGTTCTATAGTAGCCACCGGTCCATCTCCTTTTTTGGTTTGGACCACAGTAGGCGCACACTTCTTTACTCACAATCCAGTACATCCCTTGTAATCGGGCAATTCTATTCGACCTATTTTTTGACAGAGAGACCCGACTTGTGGGTACTCTCGAACACCCTTTCTGTATCATGTTTTACTCTCACAGCAATACAAAAGTTAACTTTATCACAAAAAAAAAGGTTGCAACCTTATATAAACTGTTCCTTTAATCAATTAGTTGATATTTTAGTTAATTTAGATTCAATTTGTATAGATGCTACTTTAATCAAGTTAAAATTTCATAATGTAGGTCGCTTGGTCAACCGAGTTCATCATCATGTTATGACAGGAATTGAGTACCTTTTCACACATAAAAGCCTTAAACAAAGAGAGTCTAAGTGATTACTTTTTACAAATCTTATCACCATGATAGCAATATGGGATGAAAGGATTTACAAAAGATGAATTGCCAAGGAATGCATACTTGCACAGTGATCATGGAATTGATTTTGAAGTTATTTGTATATTAGAAATTTGGGATGAACTCTTTGGCCTTTGTTATTTTTCTTCCATGAATGTTGGCTCCTTATGTTTTTCTATCATGTCTATTGGGGGCTGTTGTGTCCTCATGATCTTTGGTTTTATTTAGTAGAAACCTTAGCTTTTTTAATACTAAATGGTTTTAAGAGAAACCTTGACCAGTTTAGTACTAAATGATAAGCAATACTAAAGAGATGGCACTTTTGAGTATTTTGTATGGTTTTATTAAGAGAATGATTCTTACTGTTAAAATAATAAAACGCAGTTTAATGGCTATATCCTAACAAAAAGAAAGGATGGGCTAATGAACAAACATTAGCCCATATAGTCATTAAGATGTGTTTTTTTGTTTCGGAAAAAAGTTTATAAGGTTGCAACCTTATAATTGGAAGTAAGGTGCACCTCAAAAATCTAGTAGAAAAGAGCATTCCAAAGTTATAAAACGTTCAATTGATCATCTTGATCTTGAGATGTATGGATATAAAGAAAAAAAAGAATTTCAAGTTTTTCTCATTAACCCATATAGTCATTAAGATGTGTTTTTTTGTTTAGAAAAAAAGTTTATAAAGTTGCAACCTTATAATAGGAAGTCAGGTGCACCTCAGCAGTCCAGTAGAAGAGTATTCCAAAGTTGGAAAACCTTCCAATTGATCATCTCGACCTCGAGATGTATGGATATAAAGCAAAAGAAGAATTTCAAGTCCAAAACTAGCGCATCTTGTAGCAAGTTATCTAGATCGTCTATTTTGAAGATTTCCAAGAGTTCATAAATCAGCTCGATCTGCACCATTTTTGGAATTGTCAATTTCATAATTAGGGTCAAACATAGATTTTCAAGCTATAGTAAGGTTTGCAAAACTACATCTTCCAACAAAATTTAGAGGTGCGCCTTATTAGTATAGTATAAGTTGGGCAACTTATACAAAACTCGCCGTGTTTTTATAAGCTCATCATATCTTTTAGTACAGTTTCTTTTCTCCTTAGCCCATCCTTGCCGTTAGAATCTATTTTCATACTACCAGATATTTGTGCAATTCTATAATTTCTATATTCTTTAACTTCTGCCTTGTTTATTATTAGTAGTGCCATATTGTTAATTTTTTTATGTTCTAACCTGTTAATGATTATTTCGTGCTAGCTGCAATTTTGAATGAAATTATCTTAACATCCCTCATTTTTGGGTATTCTTCAAAAAAACGTTATTGCTATTTTTCAAAAAACAATTATTGCTATTTTTCAAATTTTATATTTTATTATTTTATAGAAAATAAAGCATTTATAATTAATAAATGTATGGATATGTCAAGGAAGTATTAGGATTTTTTCCCACATAGTAAACTCCAACACGTACTGGACACTAACACAGGTGTCGGTGTCCAGTAACACTGGTTCTACCACCCTGCTAAAGGTGATTTACTATGGGTTTGGCTGGAAAATAATCCAAGATATTCAATCTCAACAATCTTGCAACAACACATACATGAGGAATAACTAGCTTTGCTAGGCACCCGATAAGATACAAGTTAATCTAAAAGTCATTAACTAAAGTGCATTGAGAGATGAATCTGGACTAACTGTATGAGGGAACCCACTCTTCAGGATTTCTTCCCCATGTAACTTATCTAACTAAACTTTCAACTAATTTTTTTACATAACATCTTAGCCCATCTCCAATCCTAAACTTCATCCCTTTACTAAGGTCTCTTTCACAGACAAATACCTGCCATGCTCCCAGATTATGTTGTACCACCTCGATCTCAATTCCCCAAGCATTACATCCACACTCATACCACCCTTCTGACAACTTATGCATAATATCTTGGGCCTTGTTTTGACATGTTTAATAGTAGTATCAAAAAAAAAAGATGTGGTTGTTACTTTTATGAGCAATCCTGAAAAACTGTAGTCTTCATAGACCAGAGAAGTCCCATCTTTTGGGAATAGAGCAAAAACTTTTTTTTTTTTTTCCTATTGTGGGAGGGACATTTCAGTATAATTTTGGGGATAAGAGGGGGTTACATAAAATAGGCCCCCAGGAATAGCAGCATACCAAGCTGGGATGCCAAAACTCCTAAATTGGTGTAGAAAAAGGGGCGGCACTGCCAAATTTTCCCGTATCCAACCCAAACCTTAGGTTCTTTCCCGATTTGTGAATGACACTTACTCTAGTAATTAGCCCCCATGTTTCTGGATTCCAATCATCCAATACATTCAGTTTACACCTATCCTCCCATTTGAGCAGAGATGTAATTTGTGACTCCCCTTTACCTCGTTTTCTTTATAATTTTTTATAATGTTAACTTAGTATCGTCTCTAATTTATCAGTCATCCTGACCAAATCTGGAAAGTGGACCAATAATTGAAAGGATAATGCTATGAGTGGTCTTAATGACAGCAGCTCAACTAGCTAAAAGAGAAACTGGTTCTTCCAAAGTATCAACCTTTCTGAAAATATATTGGTTTATGCCTGAAATGTGTCTCAAAGCTCCGGGACACTTGCAAAAAAATGAATAGGCTGACAAAGTCATTATTGTACTCACTCCATCCTAAACCACCCAGTTAATGCAATTATACAAAAAATGGGTCAAGCTTGTTGGGATTTCTAAGTACCTTGACCAGATATCTTACAATTTCTTCACTTGTTCTTCAAAAGAAATATTAATTACATTCAGTGATCTATCATTCAAATTTTGCAGAAATATCCAACCATGTTTCCATATAACAATCTACAGATTTCAAAGAAACATTCTCCTAGTTCCCAATACAATAAGGAAGAAAGCTCATAACACCTTTTGCATAAAGGAACATTCTCCTAGTTCTCAATGCAATGAGAAAGAAAGCTCATAACACCTCTGCAAAAGTTTGTTGAATAAAATAAATTGCATAGAAGGAACAGATATAGTGGTGTGAAAGAAAGAAAAAAAGGCAACCAACTTCTCTCCAGAGCTCAATACAACCTCACCACTACAATCCAAAGCGACAACATGTATCTTGTCAAATGTTTAGGCCACTGTGAAGTTATTTCCAAAACCAGACAGCTCAAATTATGAATTATGCAATAATGCCATGAAAAGATTACTTGACATCTTCAAGTTCAATCTCAATGCATGTTTAAAGGGTCTAGAGTAATACAAGATTGATAACATATTTTTCTTTCTTAGAAAGGTTTAAGCGGTTCAAGAATTTTAAGAGCAATATATCCCCAAACAAAATCGGAAAATCCCATGATTTCCCTAGTTGCATATTTCAACACATTCTCTGACTATAACTGAGGGAGCTAAAATGCTTCCAAATTGCCCCTAAATTATAATATAAATAAAAAGCGACAGGTTGTTCTTTAAAGAGGATCATAGAAAGAAAAATAAGAAACACTCAAATCATTTAACAGAGACAATCCCAAAAAACAACACTAACGCCCTGAACTTTAAGCCATTCCAAGGAAAAACCAAGGAAATGAAGTTAGAAGAAGGATCAAATACAAAGGTCATGAGCAAACTGTAAAATCAACAGTTTCCCTGCCTCATTTTGCAGCCAAAAAGATCAGTTATCAAGTTCTTTGACATTGTTCATGTCACCAACAAATTGGACCGAAAACTACTTAGCACATACAAAACCAATCAACGATTCAGAATGCCTGAGACGAGCAATAACTAAAGATGACTAAAAAAGAAGACCATGTGTTGACTACAACTAGCAACAACAGTAACTTTTATCAATCTTTTGACAATCCCGAAAGAGTATAAGCTCAAATAGAAAGAAGGAGATAAATATGATAAAGTACACATTCAGTTAAGGTAAGCAAATCAAGAATAAACAGCCTGAACGAACAGCACTCCACGCAAATATGAGCCACAGCGAAGCAATGCATATTACAAGTATATTGGAAATTCTACATCACTCCTAACAAGAGCATCCCATCTCAAATTTTCTTGAGAAAACGTTAACTCATCCCAACTCAAATTTCACAAACAAAAGCCAAAAACACATCAAAAATAAAAAAAAACAAGACATTAACAACTGGTTTCTCCAACACTACCTCACCATCTATCAACAACTGGTTTCTCCAACACTACCTCACCATCTACCACGGAAACTATTAACAGTTGAAATCAAGAAACAAAACAGAACTAGAAGAAAAAATTTGAAAACCCATAATAATCTAAAACACACCCCAAAGGCCAAAACCAACCCTAAAGTCCATAAACCAGAGAGGAAAAGAAAAAAAGAAAAGAAAAGAGAAGAGAACATACATAAATCTAGATCAATAACAAACAAAAAAAAAAGACAAAATAAATAAAAGAAAAAAAAAGTCCCATAAACACGGAGAAAAACCAATAAAAAAAAAAAACAGGAAAAAGGAAAAAAGACAGGCAATCAACTTTACGTACCACTAGCCCCTTGGCGTTTCGCCTTTTTCATCTTAGGCAGTTTAAGCTGAACCTCCATGAAAGTCTGCATCCTCTGATACTCCACAGCCTTCGAGAACTCCATTCTCTGCTTCTCCAACTCCATCATCTGCCTCTGCTTCTGCATCTCCACTCTCTCATAAATCTCACCAAACCTCGCAATCGCTTTCGCTAACTCTTTCACACCATCCTCAACCCCAATATCTCCGCTCTCTGAAGAACCTGAATCTCCATTAACCAGGTTAGAATCCTCTGGAACTCCTCCTCCAGCGCTACATGGCAATGGCCTCTTCTCCTTGACGGGCCTTATAACCAGAGGAACAGCTTGCGGGATCTGATGGTAAGGGTGGACAACTGCTAAAGGAGGAGGCGAAGCCTTCTTCGAAGGACCTAAGAGATTATGGAGGCGATCAAAGAACGGCCACTTGCTCTGGAATGATCCATCCGACTCTGACGCCCTGGCTTTCTCGAGTTTGTACTTCTTCTTCAAGGTGTCGAGCCTGTTCTTACATTGAACATCCGTTCGTCTCGGTCGAGACACGGACCCATGGCGTGAGTTCACTGCATCAGCCACCTCTTGCCAGTGCTTCTGCTTAAGGTTCCCTCTGTTCAGCTCGAGGTATCGTTCGCCCCAGGCGTCAATCAGGGTTACCGTTGCACCCTCGCTCCAGCAATCTTCACGTGTGGACGTGGAAGAAGGGGAGGGCCTGTAAACCGTGGCTGTCATGACTGTATGAGTTGCAGAGGCCGGTTCTGGTTCTTCCATGACCGGAATTAGTGTTAGGATTTGGAGATCGAGAGGCGATCTTCTTCTGGTTAGGGCTAGGGCTTGGATGTGGCAGCAACTATTCTCTTCTGGTTAGGGTTATGGTTACGAAATGGTGGTATTGGCCATTGTCTTCTTCTGGTTAGGGCTAGGGCTGAGAAGCGGTGGCGCTGGTGGCGTCGAGATTAGGGTTAGAGAGGGGAAGGCCACCGGATTTGAGGCCGGGAGTTGAAAAGGGTATGGGGGGGAATCCGGTCAGTCGGCGATGTGGGCGCCGACGGGCACCGTTGACGGGCTGCCATGGCCCCCCGGGTGTCGCAGCGCAGCTGGCGACGCAAGGCCGTTGTTTCGGGTGGTTTCGGCCGGGTTATGGTGCCGAATAACCGGAAACTTTCGCCAATGTTTCGTAGGTGTAAGGGAATTTTGTATACTGAGAAGCATCGATCCGTCCACACGCGACAATGCACGGAATTTTAACGAAGAAATCTCGTATGGCTAGGTTTGGACGTGTACAAATATTTGAGAACAATTTTGAGATAATTATTTTCAAAAAAAAAAAAATTGAAATTGTGAGTTTTTTAAAACTTAGATTTTACGATCTAAAAATTAGATACTAATTTTTTTCAAGTGTATAGAGGGTACAATTAAGAATTTATTTTATTTATTGAGGTTAATCTATAAGTTGAAAAGGTTATATCGGATAGGAAAATCAGGTTGTACCCAAGAGAGTAAATAGACATTGGAGTAGAATAGCTTTTGCCTTTTTGGATTGTCTCCTTTTGGGATTATCAACACAAAATATTGAGATGCACTTTAAGTTGATTGGACAACAACAGTAGGTTCTTAATATGGAGAGAGTTTATATTAAATTTTTGGTAACTTCAGTCAAAAAAAAAAAACTATATTAAGATTGTAACTTTTTTCATAATATAGATATAAGGTGTACCTCAAAATCTAATACAAAAAAGTGTTTTAAAACCTTCCCATTTAATCATCTCAACTTGGCGATGTATGGATATTAAGAAAAAATAATTAAGTATTGAAAATAATAAATCTTCCAACTTTTAATACTAAAAATATAAAAAAAATTTATATCAAGATTGTAACTTTTTTTATAATATAGATATAAGGTGTACCTCAAAATCTGGTACAAAAAAGTGTTTTAAAACCTTCCCATTTAATCATCTCAACGTGGAGATGTATGAATATTAAGAAAAAATAATTAAGTGTTGAAAGTAATACATCTTCCAACTTTTAATACTAAAAATATGAAAATTAATCTTTTTAAGGGCAAAAACTCCATTCTAAAATATGGAAAAAGTTTAGACAATTCTATATTAAACTGTATAATCTACCTGAAATGTAGTTCCCATGTTGCATTTAAATACTACCCAAACAGTAATAATAAATACTACCCAAACCATTTGCATGTAATATATTACGCAGTAATATATTACGCCAGTAATATATTTCACAGACAATATATTTCATATCCAAATGACCCCTAATAGAAGATGTTTTGTTTTTGATATCCAATCAGCCACTTCCTCCTCCTACTAAAGAAGTGACAAACGTCGAGAAACAACCAATGAGGGTTATGTCCCTACTAACCCTCATCGGTTGCTTGTAATCATTATTTTATATAATAAAAAAAAAACTCAGTGGGAGTATGGTCCAGAGCGACCGAGATAAGCAAATATTATTTGTCCAGACTTTGACTAGGTTTAATGCGGTAGGCCAGACGAGTTGGAAAACTCTTAATTACCTGGGCATAGAACACAACCGCTAAGGGTTAGCAGGGATATTCCTTGATGCGGTTGGAATTACATAGGGTTGGGAGTCAAGGGACTTTGTGGCCCTTGTATGTGATGATAGTCAGTAGAGATGGCCAAATTCTCATCTTGAACCACAATATGATATGTACATATCACAGTTGTGTCGAGAAAAAAATCACCATGAATTTCCCAATAAAAGTATTGAACACTTGTTCAACACCCTCATAAAAGTACTGAGCATATTGGAGAGGCCAAATGGCATCACCAACCACTCATAAAGGCCCTTTTGAATTTTGAATGCAGCCTTGCACTCATCTCGAGGTCAAATACGGAATTGATGGTACCCAATTCTTAAATAGAGCTTTGAAAACACAGTAGCACGAGTCAATATATCTAACATATCATCTAGGTGCAGAATTGGGAGTGGTACTTGATTGTTATCTTGTTAATGACCCTAATATAGGCAACATAAGCTAAGTCTCATACTTTTTAGGCCTCAACAAGGGTGGGACAGCGCAAGGGCTCATGCTATATCGAATGAACCCCTTATGTAGAAACTGTGTAATATGTCTTTGCAACTTGTCGTGCTCCATTGGGTTCATTCTATATGTAGTATTGTTCAGTAGGCTAGACTCAAGAACGAGGTCTATGTGACGTTGGATGTCCCTCATGGGTGGTAACCTCTCTAGTAGCTCATCCGAAATGACATCACTGTAGTCCCTAATTAAGTACTCTAACTGTGGTAGAACCAAACTAATAGGCTGGTCGTCTACTTTGGCCACTGCAAACAACATCCTCAACTCCTCCAATCCCTCCATAAACTCTGCTAAAGAAAGATTGCCAGCACACCCTTCATTTGATTTGGAGGCACTTTCCTTCTTAGATGGACTGAAAACTACTTTTATCTCATCTTTGATAAATGAATAAGTGTTTTTAAATCCATCATGTATGATGTGTTTATCATACTACCATGGTCTAGCCAATAATAAATGATACACATCCGTAGGCGCAACATCGTGCCATACCTCATCTTTATAATGCTTTCCTCTAGAAAAAGAAACTAGACAACGCTTAGAAATTGTTACCTCATTTCTCTCTTTGAACCAAGCTATCTGGTATGGTTTTGGATGGATCTTTGTCTTCAACTTCAGCTTGTCTACTATCTTCTGAGAAATATATTTTCACATCTGCCCCCATCAATGATAAGATTGCAAACCTTCTCGTCGGTTGTGCATCGAGTGTGAAAAATATTTGTGCGCAACCAATCTGCCTCATCTACTACCTTGGGTGTCATATGCTGCACCGAATCACCAAAGCCTCCCCATGGTCACTGAAGGTTACTTCATACTCTTCCCTCTAAAGCTTCTTTATCATAAACAGGGTCCCCAACAAGAGATAGTTTATTGTCCTCCTCAACAATGGGCACAAATTTTTTATTCGGGCATTGAGAAGAGACATGACCAATCCCCAAACACTTAAAGTATTTTATGGTGCTATTGTTTGGGCGATTTTGGCAATTAGAATTAACCCTAACACCCACATTTTCTTGTTGTTTGGATGGACAAGCAGGCCATGAGGACTGTCCAGCCACTAAATTTCTATTATTTCCCTTAAATTCGCTTCCACGATTACATGAGCTACCCTAACCTACGACCAACCTTGATGATGGACGTCTCAGCTGAGCTTCAACCTTAATAGTGAGGTTGTAAGCCTCATCTGAGATCCAATATAGCTGTAAAACCACCACATCTTGTATAGACGATCTTAGCCCACAAATATAGCGAGCTAGAGACTGTTTTTCCCTTTCAACCACATCACTGCTAGCCATCAACTCATAAAATTCATCGGTATACTGCCCTAAACTATTTTCTACTTGATGAAGATTATTCATCGTATGATAAAGGGACTGCAAATAATTTTCAAGCAGGTATTTTTCTTTTAATTTCTTTTTCATCTTCTCCGGTGTATTAAGTTTGGGCTTTCCCATCGTCTCTCTTCTAACCTTAAGTTTTTCCCACCATACCTAGGCTCCCCTTTTTAATTTTACAGTAATAATTTTACCTTTTTATTTTCAGGTATCTCCTTATAATAAAAAACCCTTTCTATTGTATTTAACCAAAATATAAATTCCTCGTGCTATAGCTTATTGTCAAAATTAGGTATATCTACCTTTAAATCAACATCCTTAGAGTGACGCACCCCATGTCTAGGTCTCTGGTCACTATCCACATCACTTCACTCCACATGCGAAGCATGATAGTTAAAAGGGTTATTCAAAATCCTCTTGGGTTGAAAGATCATCGACTTGCCCATTATTGAGGCTCACGAACTGTTATGTCAGCTGCTGAACTTGTCATTCAACTTCCTCAATTCTCTCATCTTTGGGATAATGGAGCGGGTCCACAAAAATCCTCCTTTTATAGCCCTTCTCGCTGCCATGAGTTCATCAAATCATAAACCCTAGATAAATAATCAATAAATTTTTTTAAAAATCAACAAGATCAATGTTGTTTTGGAAAAACTTTGGCAAAATATTAGCAAATCTTAGACTCCAGTGTAACTTACCATCTTTGTTGTTGATCCAAGGCACCAAAAACTGACACTACAATAACATCTATACATTGCTATAGTAGTTTTCGTACTATGCTACAGTAACTTTCGTATAGATCACGGCCTTTGATACCAATTTGATGTAGAGAATTTGAAGCAACATTAGAAAGTCAGCAAGAAAGTACCCTGACATATGCAATTTTGGAAAAACTATAAGGCTTTCTCTCACTTAGGGCTCAAGCCTTTGGCTTTTCTTCTAAAACAAAGTCTTTTTTTTTCTTAAAAGATGAATACGTGACTGAATGTCCAGTCATTTACGCCCTTCTTTATATTGAAAATTCATTGTTTTGGATAATACAATTAACTTTTGACCAAAAGGTCATAACTTAAGTAAAACTTCAAACTAAACTCCCTAACTTTAATTAAAATATCTAAAAAGTTCCTAGCTAGTCCAACAATGAAATAAATAAATAAAAACATCTTAAATAACCTTAAAAACTTAAAAAAATTCAAATTATTTATTGGTTTTCTTGTTCTTCTTGAAATCCCTCCTAGGGTTTTTGTTGTTCTTAAAAAAATTGCTCGTGGCTACTTCTTGTGCTTTAACCATGATCATCGGAAGGCTTCATACTAATAGAATCTACATCCTTTTCTCTAATGTTGACTTGAGATCTCCCAGAGGAACATGCTATGGCACCCTGCCATCATGACAAAGTCTAGAGGAGTCATTCTGAGTACACTACACTTCCTGTTGCAAAATAAAGATTTTGAGGGCGGACACACAAGGGATATAGTTAGCACACCATACATAAAATGGGTGGTTATCATACACATCATGTGCATCCACTGTCCGCCCTCTATGATGGATTGTAGTTGAGTGAATGTTATCAGGAACTACGCATGACTGATCTAAGATCATCCATTGTTGGATATGAATGGTATATGCCATGCGACAAATTGGCGCATATCGCCTGCCATTGCTTTTGGACTCGGCCAAGTTACTCAGCCTCAGCCTACGGGTAAGGTCGAGTACCATGTACCGATTTTATCTATATCTTATATATCTCCTTTCTAATCATATGCACTTGATTATTTT